CGCGTTCTTGCAGCTGAGCCGCGCGTTTTCGTGAGCTTTTCGTTTTGCAGTTTGAGAGAAAAACACTTGTTAAAACACCTTCAACTCTTCGGACTTTTCACCTTACTGTTCTTCACCTTCCTTCCCACCGTGGCAATTGAGTTAACTGAAAACCAATGTCAGAGTGTGCTCTAGAGTGCGGAAGTTCGCTTGTTCGCCCTTGTCTTCTTCTACTCAACAGTGTCTAGCGTTTCTTGCTGTGATACAGGTTTTCCGTCCTGACCTCCCAACAGGCTGGGTTCAGTTCACCAGCGGTCGCAACAATGACTGCAGAGTGAAATTCATTGAACTGTATATACACTGAACAAGAGATACAATGCCTGGAACTAACATGGAAGTGGAGAATGGCCTCTTGGAAGTTGGAAGACCATTTTCCACTACAAACAGATGGTTTTCCACTTCCATGTTAGTTCCAGGGAGAGTGGCTGAGATAAAGATACCTGAGTCAAGACATGTCCACTATGAGGTCCATCGTGTTCCCTGTATTTGTGCTTCCGTGCCAGCAACAGCTGCACGAGCATGGCATGGCCGCTTCGTCGAGCAGCCACCTCCGCGTGCGGCGTGCGGAATGCTGAGTGTTGTATTTCGAAGCAGATTCATGCTGCGAAGACTGCACCTACGTCCCATGCAGAATCTATACAAGCCCAGTGGAGGAAAGCAACCACACGTAAGCCTGGCTTGAAAACACAAAAAGCACCGCATTGATTGATGGGGAAAGTTCAGGCAAGATGCGTGCAAGGGAAGCCGACCCTGCGGATCGAAGCTACACAGAGCACAGGGGTCTCGTGCAAAAGCGGCGAAAGCCTTGTCAAAGTGCTCACAATCCGGACTTGTTCAGCGATTGAAGATCTGAAGAGGCATGCACAGGCATGTGGATGCGAGCCACCTTGGGCCCTTGCCGTGTCCAGCATCATCAATCTATCGCCTGGCCTCGGAGTCTGACAAATGGCCACCGTGCAAAGGTTCTTTCGTATGTTTAACCATGTTGAACCTATGACATACAATCCTGGCTCAACCCGATCCGAGCACCCTGCTGCTGCATTAACTTTGCGCCAGCCAGAAAGGGCCAGCCACCCTGGCAACATCACTGAGCCAACCGTGAAAGCTACACGAACTTCACCACCATACACCCAGCCACGCTGCAAGTTGCTTTCTACATGTTCTTTTGAACTTTGAACTATGGTCCTGTGCAATGACCCTAGTAGCAGAGGCCTCAAGCTTCTTCTCCGCTGCAGGCCTCAAAGGAGTTTCTTCAGAATTCAGAGAGACGGCCGAAAGGAGTCGGGAGTTGGGAGCCCCTTCGTAGCGTCCTTGCTCCTAGTAGCCCTTTGTTCCTAGTTGCGTCCTTGTTCCTAGTAGTAAGGCCAGGAGTCCCTAGTAGCGTCCTTGCTCTTAGGAGTTGGGACTCATCTTACGTTGCCTCAGCTGACTCAACTTGCAGCCCCAGGATCCAATGGTCGGCTGCCCACCGTTGAAGGTCCTCTCCACGCAAACCTACACATCACAGAAAGTAAAACAAACTGTTTGGCTGCAGCAGGCGGATCTACCATGCTGGGTCCGTGAAACTCTTCAAAGGGTCTAACGTTATATTATAGAACAAACTACATGATCTGGGGAGATGCCAGAAATTCTTGACGCTGTGGTAATTGGCTCTAGCTAAAACAACAAGCTGACAAACCAACAAAACCTCTGAAACAAACTTTGTGTCTTCTCCCAGCGCACCAGTTGGCACGAAGTGAGGCCACCCCACGGCACAGCGCCCCAGGCGTGCGCAGCCTGTGGCCCTCAGAATGGGCGAACCAAGTACGGATCTTCCAAGAACGATATATATATATATACAATTATATACATTGATCTGTATGTCACGCTAAACAAATTGAAAGGACATTTCTTGGGGTGCCGGGCCCAAGGAAGGCCGACACAGCAGACCTTGGGTAGCAAAAAGTGACATTTTTGATCGCACAGCCAACCCGCAAAAACTGAAGAGCCGCTGACTGGAGAGCTATCCTGAGCCGTTGCTCCAAAAGTACTGAGCTCCCAAACGCCAAGTGTGGTGGGTGGTGCCCATGTCCCGAAACCCCTTGGAACACAGAGTTCATATCTTCTGGTTGAAAACAATAATATATGGCCTTGCGTTGTTGTCTTTGTGGTGCGTGAGGGTCTTGGCACCCAGTGGTTGTTGGGATCTCCAACATGTTTCAGCATAGCTGGACAGACTATTAGTGCTACACAAATACACAGCTACACCACAAATCCTGGCAACCATAATTTTGCTTGGCTACCTGGCGGCCGAGATCGCAAACGCCGAAGTGCAAGACCTGGCAGGACTCTGATTCTGCATCGCTCAAGAATTGGCATTCTGTCAGAGGATTATACATAGGCTTCAGCAGCCAGCAAGTCCCCGAAAAGCTGTCTAAACTTGTGGACCCATTTGCTGCGCGTTGAAGAAACCCACACGATGGTAGCAACAATGGCAGTGCAACGATGGTATGCCCTGGACTAAGAACTCAAAACCACACATTGGGCCGAGCCTGCTGCAAAGGAGAGACAAAGGCCCTGGCTTGGGAGACTGTCCAGATGACAGAAGTATTCCATTGTGAATCATATTCAATCGACAATGTTCAAAGGCGAAGCTACTCTAGCAATGCTTCCTCAATTGCATGTCAGTTGACAAGTTCGTCCAAACAAGTTGATTCACGTGCCAAAAATCTGATGCATTAAACAACCTCCTAGGGCCTGCTCTACAGCTCTGCAAGGAATGAAATATCTAAAACCGCAGCTGTCTCCGACAAACAATTTCACCTGTCATGATGATCGCTATCGGCTGGGCCTGGTGCAAGGCACACGGAAATGTTCATTCACAACAAGCAAGCAGGTTTCTTTAGAATGTGTTCTGCTTTGTACTGCTTTGCCACCAAAACTATCTCCAAGGACAGCATCTCCTTCTTGTTGGCATGCCCGAAACGATGTTGTATTATTGTTGCCCGATTAGGTTTAATTAATTACCGAAAATGCAAGGATAAGCAGGTAACAAAAGGGTTCATCATGTGGGCAACTGGTTCTTCTAGATGTTAGATCCTCCGAATCCTCCGGGAAAAAATGTGACGTCAAAATGTATCAACTACCCCACCCAACAACGACAGTCAGTTGTGCCATCAAAGGACACCAAAACGCCCGCGCAACGGCCGAACTTGATCGAGAGAATCTTGTCATTTTTTGGTTGTTGATGTTGATTATTGCAGTGGCCTCCTTCACAGTTATAGCTTACAGTACATGTTCACTGCTTCCATTGATGCTTGCAGAGGTGGCTTCAAGTAGCTGTTGGATCCGCGACAGACACCGATTCATTGAACATTCAAACAAATGAATTGAAAATACCACTGGATATCCAGATAAAAAATACAAGTAGATAGAGGTTCGAACATTTGGTCACTTAGTAGCGGCATTGGGGCCACGCCAGTCACTCACTGGGGGAAATTCTGTGGGAAATCTAGTTTTAACTTTTAACTTTGTGAACATCTGCAAAGTAGTTTCAGGAGCCAGACTCTGCAGAGCTGCATGAGATCCAACTACAGATCCACAGACTGTGGCACTGGCGATTTCTAGATTCATTGGACTCCAAAGAACGAAAAAGAGACACGAGTTCCTTTAGTCAAGCTTTGTAGTCGCCTATTCCACTGAGATCCTCAACAGGATGGCGCCTTGTGGATGCCGCCGTCGCATGGGCTTTCCAGGCTCCGGCCCGTGGCATGCTGTTTGGTGGTCCGAAATCTGTTGAAACGTTTGAATCATCAGGTGTACCCGATGTTCACCGAATGCAATTCCTATGTCAGTGTGGCTTCACGCGAAGAATCAAACGCTGGTCCAGGTCCTGCTACATGTAGCCGAGTGCTGTGCATGAGCAGGATAAGGACGCATTACATAGCACCATCAGCTATGCGTTGCTATTGCTAGACTGTTGAACTCTATGATCTCCTTCACACTGGAAGGCAGGAGAGAAATTCTTGAAAAGCATCGCAGCAGAATGACTTTTCACAGCTATGTAGAATGTCGATGCTGTTATTGTTGAGAGACTCATGATGCCTGCAATTCTCAGGCAAAGTCCTCTTCAGAAGCTTTCTAACAATTCCGACACAAGCAAGGGATGGGAAGGAACTTTTAGAATTCTGGTCCACTGCTTTGGATGTGGGTGAAAACCCTGTACCTTGCATGGTCACCTCAACAATGAACAGAACAATAGTCCTTTCGGGGGCACCCAGCATGGTTTTGCCCATCATTCTTGCCAGGCTTGAGAATCCTCTGCACAATTTTTTCACCTCGCTTTACAAATTGTCAACAAGGCTCTAGATCTAGAAGTCTGGGTGCGTCTGCCTACAGCAGAGCACCCGCTGAAAAAAAGCTGCCAACCTGTACTTAGACCGATTCTGGATGGTGCCTTCAATGGACACATCTTTACAAATGTGGACCAATCTCCTTGGAGTTGATGTGAACGGTTGACATGGTAATGTTTCATGCATTCGTTTCGTCTGTGAACGTCTAAGACCGTCCCATGTCCGATCAGACCATTTCTGCATGGCCTCAGATTCGGAGGACCAACTCCACATCGTCAGCATCCACAGCCTGGTGCAGAATACACGGGGAAAATCATGTGAACACGTTTGGTGGTTTTGAGTGGCAGAAATTGCCATGAAACTCCATGAACTGTTCGATGAGTCTCAGAACGGGCCTTCCATGCATTCGAAATGTCTCCTGCTTGTCGCTGCCTCATTGCGCTGCCGCAGTGCACCCAAAGACAGCAAGGAGGCCTTGCATCTGTCAGAGTTGCAGTTCAGACAGCCAAAAAAGATGTGTCAATCTGCTTTGAGAATGCACCGCACAAGTAGTTACAGCATGTTACAGCCATATAGTATACAGTATATGATGGCTGCAACATGCTGAAAGGATGCATGTCTCATCAAGTCTCAAACAGTTTTGTCGGCAAAGCGTACGTGATGCAATCTCGCAATGGCAATGTTCTGTTCAGTGTTGCGTACACTGCAGTCTCGATCCTTCATGCCGGAAAGGTTCGCGAAGTTCTTTGTTCGCGATTCTGTCCCTGACTTTGCCAGGGCTCGAGCAGAAGAGATCTCACCCTCATCCAGACATCGGAGCTGGGGCAGGACGAGCTTGGGAATGCAGCGATTGCATTCACAAAGCTCCATGTGACGATACCAAAGAAGGTAGCGCGGCAGCACTCGAGCATTACGATAAATGACGTACTCGCGGTGATCCAAAGCACCGCCATGCTTCTCTTCCTCACCAAGCACAGAGTCAACGTCAGCTTCATCTGGCTGAAACCTTGGCATCGGGCAAAAGGCCCTGAAGACTTTGCCCAAGGATACCTGGGCCAACATCAAGCAACGGTGGCCATCAGCATCAACGTCCACATAGTTGTCTGCCTGGAGGTGTATGTGCAGAAAAAAAGGCAGGGAGGCTTGTCTTGAGAAGCTTAGCCAGTCACTAAGATTTAAAGAGGTTGCTCCTAGTAGCGATGCCAGGAGCCCCTAGTAGCGCCCTTGCTCCTAGTTCGAGGACTTCACCGCGCACCGAATTGTAAAAAGATCAGCCTTCACACCACCCACCTTGGCGGCCACGTCACTGAAGTAAATTCCAGGCCCAAAGAGCTTCCCTCCCTTCTCACCCGCAAAGGTTGGATCAAATCCATCTCGCAGAATGCCGTCGATTTGTCGAAAGCGACATCCGTGATACAACAGCAGGGTTGAGCTGACAGACTCTACCTGAAGAGCAACATTCGGAAGAAAAGGTTTGGGGGGCCACTCAACATCAAATTTCAGAAGGTTCTCAAAAATCTCAAAGCACAAGTTCGACGCATGAACTCTGCTCGATCCTTTTTCCTCTTTGACCCTCTTTGACCCATCTGCCTGTTGCAGCGCGACACAGGCGGGTGGCACATCTGTTGCTCGCAGTGCTCCCATCACTTCAGCGAAGTATCGCCGCTCCAGTGCTGGTAGCCACAAGCGCTCCACGCGCAGAAGCTGCAAAGCCTGGCGACTCTTGGGAGTCAGGCCGACAGTCGACAGTAGTGTCCTTGCTCCTAGTAGCGATGGCCTTGCTCCTAGTAGTAAGGCCAGGAGCCTCTAGTAGCTTCTTGTTACTAGTAGCGATGCCCTTGTTACTAGGCCCGACAGCTGACAGGCTGTTGCAAGAGGCTTAAATGTCAACATCTGTGCACAAGCTTCACTAGACTCACTAGACTAGACTCACTACAGGCCACGGTTGGAGTGCCTCGGCCCAGAAGCAAACCTTGCGAGAACTCATCTGGTTTGCCATGCCACACAAGCCCTACAGTCAAAAGGCCACAAAGGCAAGACACAGAAGGCAAAAGCCACCAAAAGTTAGTCAAAAGCTACAAAAGGCAAAGGCTGCCAAAAGAAAACCAAAAGGCACCATAGGAAGAACAAACAATACCGCCAAATTGCAAAAAAGAAGCAAAATTGGCCATCATGGTCCCTCGTGAACCTTTCCTTTCTTGAACAGACCAAATCAAGAATCCTCCCAACGGATCGGATTCCACGCCTTGCACACTCTCCTGTCGCTGCCGCGGACTCTGCTGGGCACGGCACCCGTCGTGGCCAGATGCTCCCGGAAGCGGCGGAACTCACTGGAGCTTTCCAGCAAGACACGCCGCGAGGCCGAGGCTGCCGAGGGTGCCAAGGCTCCAGTCTCGCAACTGGACAGGGACATCTCACATAGCAATGTGACTGGCCAAGGTAGCAATGTGACTCTCCCAATGGTCTCATGTTCATGCATAATTCTGATGATTGGCGGTTCTGATTTGTGCCAATGTTGTTCGATGTTTCTTTGACCCATCTTTTGTGGCTCTGGATCCGCATTCTCACAGTTGGCCTCTTGAGATGTTTACTGCGAAAGTCTGGCCAAGCCAAACGAAGATTCAGTAGGCCAACAAACATTCAGACAAACAGCTTGGAAGAGAGAAAGTTCAAACACACCGGACAATGTGCGAGAGATTGCTCTCATTGAGGCTCAGCTTTCAACTGCACGATATACTGCTACATTGAATCAAATATAACTACAACCAGCTCAATCGTAAGGACTATTGACTATTGACTTTTGCTGGATAGACTGTCATCCAAAACCAAGTGACTGTCTCTTTCAACCAACTAAGACTTCTGCCAGCAGCTCTCCAGCATTCGCCACCGCTGGGTCCCAAGCCTGCGCCAAAAACATGAAGGAAAAAATGGTAAGGGCCCCCGTCTTTTTTCTTGTCAGTATCGGGTCGGTCTAGCTTCAATGAGCCTTCCTTCCACTGGCACCACGATCATCTCTTCACAAAGCTGACTATTGCATCTTCAACTTACAAATACTATAAAATACTGAGAAAGTCTGAATAGTATGGCATAGAAGGAAGTGGAGCCCAAGCACGCAGACCCTCGATTGATGCCGAAGGATATCCCGCAAGAATCTGCTCATGACCTGTCAAAAACAAAGACTGAAGCTTGGTAAGTTGCAAAACACATGACAATGTATCTGTCCAGGTGGCTCTCAAGAATACACGGAAAGTGTGAGTGTGTGTTTCCGCATCATAGACATAGAAGACTACTATGAACTGGGATCGAGGTTTCTTCGGCACTGTGGGTCCTGTGGCTGACCCGTTGCCATAGTTTCCAGGACCCAAGTTAGCGAAGTCGAGCATCTGAGCACCTTTCTTTATGTCGTTCTTGTCCCACCCCTTACAGTACACCTTACATCACCTCACTATATACTCCACACACAAAGAACACAGTGCGCAAACAGACCGACTTCTTGGCAAGTCATCCGAGTGGCATCGAGATCGACAAAGTCCACGCCCATGGATTGCACCTCCTGAAGATCGACAGGGGCACTCGCACTTGCAGCTTCACCCGTTGAAGGACATTCGGAGAACTGACCGAATATCAAATCTACTCCACTGAGGGCGAAGAGGATCACTGTTTGAATCCAAACAATCACTTGATGACTCTTGCATGAAATCAAGGTGTGTCACTGGTGGTGTCACCCAGTCCAACCCACCCAGGCAGCATTTTTTTGGCTCAGCAGCTACATTCTTTGGTTTTCAGAGCTGCTACACGCGTCACACCTCACACCTCCACACCATCCAGCACCTGAGCACAGCAAGTTTGTTGGTGATCCTTGCAAGAAGTTCAATCCTTCAACTAACAGTAGCAACAGTTTGGTTTTTTCTGTGAGTTCCGAAGCACAGAACATCAAGTCAAAACCCCCCCCCACTCATTGCACAAGTCCTACTGATTAGAAAAGAAAAAGTAATCGCAGAACTTCACAGGCACTCCCTCCCGATGATGTGCGTCGCCTGTCCCATCAGCCTGGGCGTTGCAACACGCCAGCAATTGGTACCTCAACACACAGGTCCCTCAGTCCTCAAGATCATTGTATATACGCTCTAATCCGCCGACCCCAGCGCTGATGCCTAGGCGGGGCGGCGCTTGGGACACCGCAGGTGGAAGCCGTTGCCAGTGGATGTGCCTTGCGGTGTCAAGAGGGGTAAAGCCGTGGCGGAGCAGAAGCTATGGGCCATGGGTTTTTTTCTGCGCTCCGGCTGCTGCTTATAGGCTTCCGAAGGCGACGTTAGGCATTCGACGCTGCAGTCCAGCGTCATTTTTGGGTGGAATTAGATGGTGGAAAGCTGTGGCGAAGCAGATTGCCGGGAGCCTTGG